GATTCCCTGGAGAAGGAAATGCCAACCCACTGCAGTATTCTTGCCTGGAAAATCCCATGGATGGAGAAGCCTGGCAGGCCCCAGTCCATGGGGTCACGAAGAGTCGGACAGGACTGAGCGGCTTCACTCTTACTTGTAACAGTCCTTAGCATTTATTGAACATTTACTATGTAGCCCCAGTTCTAAATGCTCTGCAGGTATTAACAAAATCCTCACAGCGGCCCTGTGACATTTTACAGGCCCATTTTACAGTTGAGGGGCCTGAGGGACCAGGCAGTGATGGGCGCCCACAGAGCGAGCAGATAATCCCAGACAATGTCTCCCCACTGGCCTTGTGCTGACCCCCGAGGTGACTGTGTTTCAAACCTAGCCAGCAGCCCTGCACGCCCACCCCTTCTGGTCTCCCCGCCCTTGTCCTCTGACCTTGTCTGCCTTCCACGTGTGCTCTGCTCACGAGCTTCTGTCACTGTTCTCCCACTTCTGCTCCTGCTCAGGCCGCTGCGCTCTTTCTTTCTCATGCTCCCCACTCCCCGTCTGCCCAGAAAGCTGCTGCTCAGCGTGCACCTTGTAAGACCTTCCCTACCGTCCCTCCCCACCCCAGCCTCCCACTTTGCTCCCACAGGGTTTGGTCATGGAATGTGCTAAATCACATAATGTGTTTATTCAGTCGCAATCTCAGTTCCCTGAGGGTAGGCAGTGTCTTCAAAAAAATAATAATAAGCTTGGTTTTAGAATGATTTTAGATTTACAGAAACACTGCAAGGATAGTATTGTACGAAGAATTCCCATATGCCCAGTTTCCCCTATTGTTAGCATCTTAAGTTAATGTGGTTCATTTGTCACAGTTCATGAACCAGTCTTGATACATGTAGTCCATACATGAAGTCCATACTTCGTTTCCTTACTTTTTACCTAGTGCCTTTTTCTTGTTCCAGAATCCCATGTAGGGTGTCATATTACACTTAATCATCATGTAGCCTTCGGCTCCTGATGGCTCTTGACAGTTCCCCGGACTTTGTTTTGATGATCTTGAGAGTTTCGAGGGTCAGGTGTTCCGTAGAATGTCCTTCAGTTGGGATTTGTCTGGCGTTTTTCTCATGAGTGAGTTACTAGAGGAAGAAGACCACAGAGATAAAGTTCCATTCTCTCTCAGGGCTGGATGCTTATCAGGACGCCTTGTCACTGTTGACGCTGCCCCTGATGCCGTCCTCAGGTCCTCAGGCAGTGCTCGTCAGGGTCCTCTGCTGGGCGGCGACTCTGCTTCCCCTTCCACGCTGTACCCTTTGGAAGAAGTCACCCTGCACAACCCACACATAAGGGGTGGGGGTTATGCAGCCCCTCCACGAGGGCGGAGGCTCTGCATCAGCTATTTGAAACTCTTCTGCATGGATTTGTCTGGTCCTCATTTTCTTTGTAACTGTGGACTCTGAGATACTTATTTTGTACTCTAAATTTAATCCAATACTGCTTTATTTTCTTGCCCAGATTGTTCCAGCTTTGGCCGCTGGGGGCTCTTTGATACAGGGCCTGTCCCTTTCACAGACTCCCATCGTTGGTGGAGTTTGGGGGGTTGGTTTTGTTTGCATCAGCACTTCCTGGTGCTACAAGGTAGTCCAGACTTGTCTTATGTATTTTCAGCCCCTAACCTAGGATTCAGCCATTCCTCTGAGTCCTGTTTCTTTTTATTGGAGAATGAAATAATTTTGTTGAAGAGCCAAACGACTTCAATGTGCATCAGATTCCTAAGTTTCTCCTCTCTGAGAGTGACACTTCTAGGCTCCGACAACCTGTCTCCTATCCAGAGGAACCAGTTGTGTTTGGAGCTTGTCAGTCACAAGCAGTGCTTTGAGCTCTCCTCAGTCAGCATCTCAGACATCCAGACAGCACATTGCCCAGACAACCAGATTAATGAGTATTTCACTGGTTTTTTCCTCCAACAATTACAAAAGTTTAACAAAAATGTTCAGTAATAAAATGCACACAACCCAATTTTTATAGTAAAATGCAGGGGGGGGCGTGTGGACACCATTGAATCCCTGATGAGCACGGCCATTGTTTGTACTGGCTCCAAGGCCGTGACGGGATAATGTCTCCTCGCACCGCCACCGTCCAGTACTGTTCTGTTGCCCCCCAGTAGCCATCTCCACACGTTCACCTGTCACAAAATTCATAGAAGGATCAGATCCCCACAGTATTCCTTGGACATATCTGCCACATTTAATTTCAGCAATAACTTCTTGTCCATACATTTCTTCAGCTCAGGAGGGTGAGCTCAAAGACACCTCCCACTGTCCTGTCCCTTTAAGATCAGAATTCAAGATGAAAGTCTGTGCACTTGTCGTGCCTGTTCAGACCTCTTCGGATATGGTTGGTGGTTCTCGGGTTTGAGGCTGACCTGTGATGACTAAGTTACAGAACAAATAATCAGCAGCTGCACCCTGGGAGCGCAGGTCCTAGAGCAGAGCTCCCCAGCTGGTAAATGGGGAATGGTGTACACGTGGCAGAGACCCCGATCACCTTGCCTTCAGAAGGGTGGCAACTGAGTGCCCACGACCTGGACAGTGCTCAGAGAGCACTGCCCGAGGAGTCCAGGGCGCTCAGAGCTGTGTGTCTGGTCCATCTCTAGTTTTTCACTTGGTCTCTGTATAGCATGTTTTTTCTTTCTTTCTCCCCCTCCCTGCCCCCCTTCTTCTTTTTTTATTTTTTATTTTTTTTACAATTTTGGTGAAATATACATAGCACAAGATTTACCATCAGTACAATTCAGTGGTACTAAATACATTCAGATTGTTCAACAACCATTATCACCATCAACTACTGCCATAACTTTTCATTCTGTAAAACAGAAACTGTGTCTTTGAAACAGCAGTTCCCCATTCCCTGCTCCTCCCAGCACGTGGCAGCCACCCATATCCTTTTCCATCTTCAAATCTGGTGCTCTCAGGACCGCCTGTAACAGAAATCATAGAGCGTTTGTCATCCTGTGACTCCCATTTGACTCAGCATAATGTCCTCAGGGTTCATCCCCATTGCAGCCCGCATCAGATTTTTTTCTCCTTTTTCAGGCTGAATCACTGCGCTGTATGAATAGGCCGCATTCTCCTTATCCATTCAGCATGCTCATCGTTACTGCTTGCACCTCATTTTTCTTACTCTGTATTGGAGTGTAGTATATTTACAATGTAGTGTTAGTGTTGGGTGTACGGCAGAGGTTCAGTTGTACGTATATCCTTTTCCAGATTCTTTTCTCGTCTAGGTTATTTGTTTATCTTGGCTGCCCTAGACCTTTTTTGCTGTGTGGGTTTTCTATAGCTGTGGGGAGGACTCGCATTGCGGTGGCTTCTCTTGCTGAGGAGCGGGGGCTCTAGGTGCACGGGCTTCAGTAGTTGTGGCGAAAGGGCTCAGCCGCTCCGTGGCTTGCGGGTCCTTCCCAATCAGGGCTCAGGCCCGTGTGCCCTGCACTGGCAGGCGTTCTGTCCTCGTGCAGGTCATCGCAGAGTACTGGGGAGAGTTCCCCGTGCTCTAACAGTGGGTCCTTGTTGATTATCTGTTTCTTGTGCAGTCGTGTATATTATATGTATGTAATTGCTCCCTCCCCGACACTTCCCCACCCCGTAAGTTTGTTTTCTAAGTCTCTGAGTCTGTTTAGTAAATAAGTTCATTTGTGTCATTGTTTAGATTCCACATGTAAGTGATACCATAGATGTTTGTCTTAGTTGATCATTTCAGTCCATCCATGTTGCTGCAAAGGGCTGTATTTAATTCTTTTCTATGACTGTCACGTCAAGTTTCTTTTGTCTCCATTCCCCTATGCATTTCTGCAGGCAAGGTAGGCAGAGGCTTGAAAGTCACATAGTGCAGGTTGGAATCCTAGGTCCTGGTTTTACTGATTGTGAGACCTTGATTAGCAAATTACTTAACCCCTCTGAGCTTGATTCCCCATCTGTAAAATGGATAAAGAGGAGCATTACTCATGAGACTGTTGTTAGAATTAAACAAGAGGGTACAGACGTGCAGAGACTTTGCACAGCGCCAGGCATGTGACAGGTGTTCAGCAAATCTTAGCTACTAAAACATGCTCATCATGTGTAGTTTCTCATTCTCGTTGGGCATGAGGTTGAGGAGGAGGAAAATCCTAAGGAATTAAATCGTTGAGATGATTTCAACCCTTGCCATGAATGCTCTTTAGTGTACCGCCAACGGTGTGAAGGTGGATGATAGACCGTGCTGTGTCCTGGGTGCCTGTGGGCGCTGGGGTGAGCTCCCGCACTTCTGCAGGAGGCGCCCCCCGTGCCGCCAGTGTCGTTGGGGAGCCCGGGAGGCTGGTGCGGGCTCCGCGGGCTCTGGCTCCGCCTCGTCCCAGCTCTCGCCCACTGCCCTGCTCCAAGAGGGGGAAGCCGGAGGAGTCGGGAACAAGTTGTCTTTGTGCTCTGCTCTTGGTCTGCTCAGCAGCACTGTGGGCACTGGCAGACACACCAGGGAAGACGCTGGGATTCAGAGGCGCACTGGAGTGGCGGTGGGAGGCTTTCTAGGTCTGCGGCCCGGCTGGGAAGCGGACATGTTGTTGTGGGCGGGGCCCTCTGCTGCCTGGGTTTTGAAATCCTTCGCAGATGGGCTGAGAGCGGGACGTGAGCACGTGTAGTCAGCCTCCCTCAATGGTGAAGGGTGGCTGGGGGCGTTGCCTCGCCAAGACGATGGGCTGCGGAGGACCACATATAAAGCACTGAGGCCTGATTTCTGGGGCGTCAGGATCTTGTGTGAGCTGGACCCTCTTAGAGGGATGAGGTCCACCCTCCAGCAGTGGTAGGTCGGTTCTGGGACTGGCCCTTTATTCCCGGGGTGGCCTTGAGGGCTGACGGGCGCGAGGACCTCTCCGGCTCCTCGCTGTCCAGTCCAGGGACAGCTGAGTCCTGGGTTCTCCCCAGCAGTCCATTCTCAATGAACCCCTCATTCTCCGAGTGGATGTGTGTATCGCTGATCCAGATGCCGTGTGATTGCAGGATCCAGTGAGACCCAGGAGCAGCCGTCCAGTGGCTCCGAGGAGGCATCTGGGACAGAGGATGAGGAGGAGGACGTGCCCAGCTTCGTCACAGGGCGATGACGGGGCTGGCCCCGCGACTCCGAACGCCCTCCCAGAGCCTCATGGAGAGATGCAGTGGGAGCCCCTCCTGAGGACTCACAGCCCCGCTGCGGGCAGGACTCAGCCGGTAGGGAGAGGACTGGCCGCCTGGACACGCGAGGGCACTGCCAAGCGGGGCTCGTTAATGTTCTCGCTGTAAGGGGGGAGCTGTATGACCTGGCGCCCCCACCTGCTCTCATATAAGTGGACAGTGATGAGCTTGGGGCTGGTTTCTGTGAAACGAATGTTTGTTTAGTAAAGAACAGAAAAACTCCAGGTTTTGTTCGGACCTGTGACGTGCTGATTACAGAAGCTGCAGAGAGGCTGTGATATGACACGATAGGGAGGGGCTGGTCCCAGACCCAGAGGAAGCAGCCTCGGCTCTGGAAGGAACCCCCACTGCAGGGCGCGGGGCCTCCGTTTCCTTCAGCTGAGGGTGCAGAGTGCACCCCAGGACTCACCCCTGCTCCACGCATCCCGGCAGCTGCAGACGGAGACCTGGGACTGAGCCAGAGGTGGAGCCAACAGAGAGGACCTTGGCGTGTGAGGAGGACTTCAGAAAACCAACTGGTCATAGAAAGTCAGCAGGTAGAGGAGCCAGGCTGGGCTGGACCAGAGCAGGTGGCCTGGGGAATCCCGCTGGACTACAGGGGTGCAGGTGATGCCGGCCAAAAGCTACACTTTCGTCAAGAGGGAAAGGGGGATCTAAGCGGAAAATGGAAGGTGACTGAGGGCAGCCTTTCAGGCCAATGGGAGAGACAGAGATGGTTTCTAACTAAAGCCTTCGCTCACGTTTTTGGTATCTCCCAAGTTTCTAGGTCTATTTTGTGCCTTTTATAGAAAGTTTGATAGAATTAAGGAAATAGTGGTTTCAAGTGAAGGGAAATGAGGAAACATCTTACGTTTCTTGATTTCCCTGGCTCCATCCTGAACCTTGTGACATCTGTGATAATGTCTGTCTGTCCACAGTTTAGGTCACAGGAATTTTCTTTCCCAGGAAGCTGAAATGGAAAGTCAGCCCTCATAAATTACACAGCCTGGCTGTCTGTTTGAAAGTGGTATTTCTCTTTCATTAGGGACTGACCCATTGGTTCTGTGTCCTCCTATCTTTGAACTGTTGGTTTCCTTTGTCCCCTCAAAGTGTGTGTGTCAGAGCTCGTGCTCTGAGCCTGGACCCTGGGACTGAGTCCTGGCCCTGCCTCTGATGGGACAGGGAACTCTGGGCGATCCCTGCCCAGTGCCCCTGGCCAGGAGCTCGGAGCTTGCGCAGATGTGTGCCGGGCAGGTGGGCGGATGACTAGACTGGGCGCTTGTTTTTGCCTTTACTGGGTGTCAGGAGATGCTGCTCGGGGAGATGTTCTTCAGCAGTTCCCAGTGACGTAGCCGTCTCAGTGCCTTAGGCTGAATGACTCGCAGGCCTTCTGTACCAGCCGGATCCTTGGCTCCACTCTCCCAGTCCACTCAGCAGAACCAAGCCACTGACACTGCACTTCGTGTTATCAAACCCAGTTCACTGCAGGGCATCAAGCAAGGAGAACAGGCCAGCTGGTGCTCAAAAGCCCAAAAGACTGCGAGGGAGAGGGCCACAGGGTATGTGATCAGCTCATGTGCGGTTCTGATTGGTTGGTGGTGAGTAAATGAGCGATGTTTGGGGACTCTCAGCTTTCTGGTTCCAGCCCATCCGGGCTCTACGCTGCTGGTGGTCCTCGGGCAGGCAACTGCTTTCACCTGGGGGGAATCTTACGCCTGCAAAACAACTCAAGGGTGTGGCTCGGGATACTACTTAGAGCCCTTGAGGAGGAACTGAAGGGCCTTGACTTTATGGCCAGGTTGTTTTGTCTTTCTTGACTGCTTTCCTTTGTTTCTTCATTTTCTCATCTTTAATTAAGTTTGTGCAAGAATGTGGGAGAAAGTCATTGACCTTGTTTTCATTTTAAACTTCTTTTCATTTTTAAAAGAATTCTCAAGTTGCTTGGTGCCAGTACTTTGTATTGTGAAAACATTACCCCTGATGGCTTTGTCATAGCACCTGGACAAATGCTTGAAAATTAGACACAGTACAATGAGGATAGAGATGTAAACACACCTTCCGTATACCCAGAGTTTGTTACAGATGGCAACCAGGAAAATCAGTTTTGGAGTGAGTCATTTTTATATAAATTCTGTAACCAAGGAGTCTTTTGAATTAATTCTATTTATTTGGGTTTCAGCTTCTCCAGGGCTATTTTTTAAAATATATTTCTATATGTGTGTGTGTGTATATATATATAAACAGGAACTGTTGGCCACTGCACATCTTTTTTGTGGTTAAAATGTAAAGTAGTTTTATTACCTAGTACTTTTCTGCCTAAATAATCTAGTGCCTTCTCCTTGGAAGCTATAGCTTGAGCTGTCTTGCTGATTACTACAGTAAGTGCCCTACATACAAACCCTCAAGTTTCGAACTTTCACAGATGTAAATGTGTTCCACGCCATCAGGTGTGAGCGAAGCTGCCCTCCATCTCCTACTGCTGACGGCCCTTCAGCTCCACTGTCTCCCTCCCCCAGTCAGTAACTCTTCTCAGCTGCTCACTCAGTGCCAGCTGTTACATGGCTGTGCTTCTCAAGGTCCTGCACTGTAAGATTAGAAGTTTGTTTTTTCTGCTTATGTATTACTTGTGTGAAAGTATGAGCCTAGTACCATACTATAGAGCGATCGTGTTAGTTAGGTACCTAGACTAACTTTCTGGACTTACGAACTCATTTATAGGTAGGGGACTCACTGTATTCCTAAAGAAAGGCATTTCATGGCTGCTGATAGTGTCCTTGAGTCTGATACAGTTCAGAAAGTTCAGGTTCTCAGTAATACAGGAATGTGTCTGAACCCATGTCCGTAGGCACCCAGGTCCATACTGAATGCTACAGTTACTTCATTTTGATTTTGTAAATGCTTCTTTAAAGTAGATGTATACAGTGTATGTTTGATAAACTAGAACAGCCTGTATAAACCAAAATAACTTCTCTATACCTTGGTATGTGAAAGTTTCCATTATTTTCCTCCTTTTGTTTGCAAATCTTTCAGTAGAAAGCATTGATGATTCAAAATACTTGTCCCTCAATGCTAGGCCTCCTTTTATATATATATTTAAGTATATAAAATATTAAATATATTATGATGAGAAAAACTAATCAAACATAGTCAACAAGCTCACAGGTATGCTAATTTTATAGGCTATACATTATCATTTATACCAAATTGTCACACAAACATTGTACATATGCTTTCAGAGTACAGTTAAAAGCAAGTGGTGATAAACGTCATGAGTACTCAACTTGATGAGAATCTTCAGTCTTGAACTCTGAAGTCAGAAGTATGATTAGAAATAAAACTTTGTTTTGACAGGGAGCCACACATTTGGTGAACAGTTCAGCTGAATTACAGTGGACCTTACAGACCTGGTGCAGATTCTTGGGTCAGCGGTCTACCCCTCTGTCGTCTTTTTCTCGGCCTGGTGTCAGCGTTATTGGAGGTCAGCAGTGCTCTCTCTAGGCCAGTCCGGCGCAGAAGCCCTGAGTGGGAAATAATTCATTCAGGAGTCGGTTTCTGTCAGTTTCCACTGTGCATGAGCCACTAAATACCTGATGAGAGACCTTTCATTTGGGTTGGAGAGAGTCTCAATAAATGATGTCTTTTCCAGTATAATGTGTATATGTATAATCTCCTGGTTGTGGATCACGGGGCATCTGGTCTTCGTCCAAAGACAGATTACTGTGATCAGCTTCAGAAACAAGCTTGGAATATTCCTTTAAAACTTAGACTTTATAATATAACAACAAGGTCATCTTTGATGTAGATAATACAACAACCTCAGCATATACAAAACATCAGTATCCACAAAGGTATGTTATCAAAACATAATCTCTCTAAATTACCCTTTGTGGCTCAGACGGTAAAGAATCTGCCTGCAGTGTGGGGCACCTGGGTTCAATCCCTGGGTCGGGAAGATCCTCTGCAGAGGGAAATGGCAACCCACTCCAGTATTCTTGCCTAGAGAATTCCATGGACACTACAGTCCATGGAGTTGCAAAGAGTTGGAAATGAGTGAGCGACTGACACTGCCAAATTAAGTCGTTTTGATAAACTTGGCCTGATTATTTACCTAAGTGTAATTGATCATATAGGCTCCTTTAAATCAACTGTGCCAGAATTTTTCCTAAGGAATATCAAATTTAACTTTTTAAAAAGATTTCCTTATGTCTAGAAAATACAGACTAAAAGTTGTTATAACTATTCATCAGTTAACTCAGTCCCATGTAACTGGTCCTTGATCTTGTTAACAGTTTGATGAAACCATCGGGGTTTCCATTAGAATTAATTTCTTACCCAGTTCATCAGTATGATCTGGAAGTTATCAGAATCTTGTGCTTGCCAGAAAGTCCCTTCTGTGAGTCTTCTTAAAGATGAGGCATTTTTGCAAATATTTTGAAATATCATCTATGAATGACAAGGGACTTGAAAAGATGCAGTTAAGGATATGATTACCGTGCAGTTGACAAAGAAGCCTAACCAAGTTGCTGTGACATACAATATTTTAACAACTTACTGACCAGAGACATCTCTTTTGTTATCTGAACACTATTGATCAAAGACATTTCCACATTCACTTACATAACAAATTGCTGGCCAGAGGCATTCGTTTCTGCAAAAATTCCCCAGTCAGTAATGTGTTAACAAGAATTAAGATTGATAACAAATGGTACAGTTTCTAGAACACTTAATGACATTTACCCATACAATATTACTTAAGGCTTATCACCACTCATTTGATAATGCTTCTCATGTAGTTTTAACACATTAACTTATAGCAGCTGAAATAAGTTTCACTTGAGTTTTAAAAGGCTTTTCCATTTCCTTTCAGTTCAGGTTCTACCTATTAAGCTAAGGACCATAGTCTCAAGACAGTGTGAGCCGTGTTCGCATTTAAAGGAAATGGGAGTTATAATTTCAGCTTTGTACCTAGGAAAACTTTTGCTCTCAGGGTCGGAATTTTGAAAAATTTTTATCAAACCAGATTTCTCTAACTGTATATGCAAAAAGGAAACAAAATTAGAAGGTCAAGAGTTTTATCTTGGCCATTCTCTGAAGTCTAAATAACATTGTGGCCACATGGTGTTACACCAGAGCCATCTTTCTTTTCATAGAGATCTAGCTGAAAATTCCCCAGTTTTGTAAGATACGCTAGGGGACTACAAGAGGCAATAGAGCTCTGATTTCTTATCTTTTCAAAGAGCTGCATTATCAGAAACGGATCAGAACCAGGCGACCCAGTGCTCAAAGGCCCCTCAGATCCTAGTTCCCAGCACGAGGATGGAAGATTTCCTACCTGCTGTTCCAGAGAGGGGTAAGAGCAACCAGCCCTGGTGTATGCGGAGTTTCCCAAGTGGCCCACGCGATGCAGGATGGCTGAGGGGTTCCCCAGCCGGAAGAGAAGGCTCCACTTAGAGCGGCACTGTGCTCAAAACCAGACGACCAAGTCCTGTGCTTCTCCCCCGGCGCCCCCCACACACCAGGAAGGGCAGCTTCCAGTCACAGGAGCCCAGCAGGGAGACGTCCCACTGCTCACCAGTGACGCCTCCAGAGCAGAACTGGAGCCTCGCGTGCTTCACCACAGAACCAAGACTGCCGTGGGCCAGGCAGCACTGACTGTCCCGGCGACGCTGCTGCTCGGCCCGCTGCTGGACCGGATCCGAGAGCTGCAGCCGGCCGGGGCGGAGGTGCCCCTCGCTGCAACAACACAAAGTGACTGCTCCAGCAATCCCACTCCTGCGAGTTTACCCAGACTCAGCTATCACTTAAGGTACACACCCCGCCATGTTCACAGCAGCACTGCTCACAATAGCCAAGACATGGAAACCACCTGAATGACCATCGACAGATTGCTGGATAAAGATGTATATAGATACAGTGGAAGACCACTCAGCCATGCAAAATAATGCCATTTGCAGCAACATGGATCCAACTAGAGATTTATCATTCAAAGTGAAGTCAGAGACAGGGACTTCCCTAACAGTCCAGTGGTTAAGACTGCTCCCCATTCAGTGAGTGCCGCAAAAAAAAAATGATACCATGTATATGTAATACAACGCAGATGAACCTGTGGAGCAGAATCAGGGACACGGAGCAGACTGGTGGTTGGGGGGAGGGGTGTTGGGAGGGGGTGGAGTGGGAGGTTGAGGTTAGCATCTGAGTTTTTATATTTAGATAAACAAGGCCCTACTGGATGGCACAGAACTATATTCAATATCCTATGATAAACCATAATGGAAAATATTTAAAATGTGTATACACACACACATAACTGAATCACTTTGCTGTACATCAGTACATCTAACACACCAGAGGCTGTCCCCAAGAAGCCCCCCAACCCAAGTCCTGCTCAGTTTAATTTCTTCAGAAATGAAAAATGTGTAGAAAAAGGGAACGATTAGGTGTCATCAGTGAGGAGGGAGAGAGACCCACATCCCCCCCACCCAAAAAAAAAGATTAATGCCCTTTGTGACAGTTACCAAACCAGGATCATTTTGCCCAACATGCAGCAGCCAGGATGCTGAGATGCCAGGGTTTGCAGCAAAGAGGGTTTATTCACAAGGCAGTCAAGCAACAAGACAGAGCAAGTCTCAGATTCACCTCCTGGAAGGCAAAGAGCTCCCTGTGTTCATGGTGTGAAAAAGCAAGGCAGCCCATGGCGTGGGGGCAGTGGGGATGGGGAGTTGGAGAAAGCTTGGCAACTGTCATTCTGTGCGGATGTAACTAAGCTACAGGCCTCTGCACATTCAAAAGTGGAGCTGCTTACAGCACAATCTGACGGTTACCCTTTGAGGTCAGAAGGTCACCAAGTGGACACACGGGCCAGCCCATTTGGAAGGTCATTGGTCCTATCCAGCCCTAGCCAGCTTAGCTCAGACTAGACACAGCTGACTCCAGCCCCCTGGGAAACAACAAATACTGTTTAGGCTGTGTGCTTCTCGTTGACACACAGGTCTCAGAACAAACGACCCTGATCAGTGCAGGCAGAGGAAACGGATTTGACTGATAACTACCCTCAGTTTCGTTCCCCCATGTCTTCTGATCACTCCTCGATCTTCAGAGTGGCGGGGGCGATGACAGATTTACAGAGCTGTGTTAGCCCTCTGCCTCTTACCAGTGTCCGCGCATGCTCGCTCAGTGGTGTCCGACTCTGGGCGACCCCATGGACTGCAGCCTGCCAGGCTCCTCTGTCCATGGGATTCTCCAGGCAAGAATACTGGAGGGAGCTGCCGTTTCCTCCTCCAGGGGATCTGCCGGACCCAGGGATTGAACCCACATTTCCTGCATTGGCAGGCGGACTCTTTACCACTGAGCCACCGGGGAAGCCGCCCTCTTAACAGCACAACATTGTACATCAACTGTACTCCAATTAAAAGTTTTCCTAAAAAGCTTAGGGCTAACAAGGGCTTGAAGAATGCAGCTGTTGATTGCTCACTTAAAACATTCTCTTGTTCCCAGTTTCCAGTGAGCACTTTGATCCCAATAAACAGATAACCACCTCTGTACCAACTGTCACAGGCCCAAGACTGACAATCAAAATGGCAAAGACCAACTCTGAGGGGGACACACATATTATTAAAATTTAGGCCCTAGATCTTATCTAGGACACGGTCAAGCCAGGGCCATGTCTTACCTTCTTACTGGAGAGTCCCAATCATTAGCAGTTTGGCTGAAACACTTAGACACTAAATATGGAAGGAACACAGGCTGGAAAAATACACGTTTTCTATTCTCACCTAACAGAACCTTGACGGGTAGAAAAGGATTACTTTTTTTAAAATCTGAGGTCACAAGGACCAAATTTCAGCTTAGACATGGAAAAACAGGACAGGAAATTCTGTTGATTAGACTAATCAGATATGTAACATTGGAAGTCACAGTGAAGTTACGGACAGTTGAAAAATTAATGGCAGGCAGGACAAGAGGTAGGCATCATTAAATACAGAAAAAGATTTTGGATGAAATTTCCAACAGCTAGGACAAAGGTCTGTATAGTCAAAGCTATGGTTTTTCCAGCAGTCATGTATGGATGTGAGAGTTGTGAGAGTTTAATAAGAAAGCTGAGCGCCAAAGAATTGATGTTTCTGAAGTGTGTTGGAGAAAACTCTTGAGAGTCCCTTGGACTGCAATGAGATCAAACCAGTCCATCCTAAAGGAAATCAGTCCTGAATATTCATTGGAAGGACTGATGCTGAAGCTCCAATACTTTGGCCACCTGATGTGAAGAGCTGACTCATTAGAAAAGACCCTGATTCTGGGAAAGACTGAAGGCAGGAGGAGCAAGGGACAACAGGATGAGATTGTTGGATGGCATCACTGAGTCAATGGACATGAGTTCCAGCAAGCTCTGGGAGATGGTGAAGGACAGAAGCCTGGCATGCTGCAGTCCATGGGGTCGAAAGGAGTCGGACGTGACTGACCAACTGAACACCGTCCCCGGTGGTCCGATGGTTAGCAATCTGCCTGCCAGTGTAGGGGACACGGGTTCCATCGATGTTCCGGGAGGATTTCACATGCCAGCGGCAACTCAGCCCTCGAGCGGTAACTACTGAGCCCACACTCCATAACCACTGAAGCCAGAGCACCCTAGAGCCTGTGCTCTGCAATGAGAAGCCACGGCAATAAGAAGCCCTCACACCCCAACTAGACAAAGCCTGAGCACAGCACTGAAGATCAAGCACAGCCATAAATACTAAGAGAGCGAGCATTAAAGACATCCAACAGCTAGAGAGAGTACCTGCTTTTGCCCAGCTTTGAGAAATCTTAATCATTGAGTTGCCCTTCCAAGCCTTAATTTCTTTCTTGTGACTTCATTCTGAAAAGCTGCAATAAGATCTGTTCGAGGTTCACCTGCCCACTGGGAGGAATCAGTGTAGGGGACCTGGAACCAGCCAAGGCTTGGAGTGATCTCTGTCGACAGTGTTCCACATATGGTTTCCATTTCCCATCACGGTCCACACAGGGACTTCTCTAGTGGTCCAGTGGCTTAAGACTCCGAGCTCCCAGTGCAGGAGGCCCAGGTTGAATCACTGGTCAGGGGACTAGATCCCACATGCTTCAGTTAAGACCTGCTGCTAAGTCACATCAGTTGTGTCCAACTCTGTGCGACCCCATAGACGGCAGCCCACCAGGCTCCCCCGTCCCTGAGATTCTCCAGGCAAGAATACTGGAGCAGGTTGCCATTTCCTTCTCCAATGCATGAAAGTGAAGTCGCTCAGTCATGTCCGACTCTTAGCGACCCCATGGACTGTAGCCTACCAGGCTCCTCCGTCCTTGGGATTCTCCAGGCAAGAGTACTGGAGTGGGTTGCCATTGCCTTCTCCAATTAAGACCTAGCACAGCCAAATAAATATATATATTTTTTTAATTAGGGATCCAAATGTTTCAGAACCCAGCCATTCTCAGGAATCCCCACAACTTTCTCCTGAAAGTGGGAACTGCAAGCCCAGCTAGAGCCTCCCTTCGGTCAGGGGACAAGACTCTGTCCTTGTGAGACTTCAAAACCCAAGTGGTCAACAGAGGGCAGAGAACTATGCCTTTTCCTCAGACACCTTACAGCTTCATTCAACCACAAAGTTCAAAGTCAAAACTGTATTCTGGTCTCAGGCATCCTTTGTTTTACATGCAATCAAATGGGAATGTCCACATATTAGAGCGGGGCTCAGGACATGGAAGCAACCTGGATGCCCATCAGCAGACGAATGGATGAGGAAGCTGTGGTACATATACACCATGGAATATTACTCAGCCGTTAAAAAGAATTCACTTGAATCAGTTCTAATAAGATGGATGAAACTGGAGCCCATTATACAGAGTGAAGTAAGCCAGAAAGATAAAGAACATTACAGCATACTAACACATATATATGGAATTTAGAAAGATGGTAATGATAACCCTATATGCAAAACAGAAAAAGAGACACAGATGTACAGGACAGACTTTTGGACTCTGTGGGAGAAGGTGAGGGTGGGATGTTTCAAGAGAACAGCATGAATATTATCTATAGTGAAACAGATCACCAGCCCAGGTGGGATGCATGAGACAAGTGCTCGGGCCTGGTGCGCTGGGAAGACCCAGAGGAATCGGGTGGAGAGGGAGGTGGAAGGGGGGATCGGGATGGGGGATACATGTAACTCCGTGGCTGATTCATGTCACTGTATTACAAAACCCACTGCAATGTTGTAAAGTAATTGGCCTCCAACTAATAAAAATAAATGGAAAAAAAAATAGAGCGGGGCTCCCTCTTTTAGTTCAGGGGCCTTCAAATCTTTGGCCAGGATTTCTACAGATACCTTGCAGGAATTTTTAAGTCCCTGAGAACTTCCTGTCAGGCAGAACGGTTGTTTAACTCTTGTATCTAGATCTTTCCATTAAAAGCAAACAATTCTTGGGATTCAAATCTCAGGGGTATGCAAGCACAGAAGCACGTGCGTACACACACACACACACACACACACACACACACACACACCATTCTTCAAATCCAGTAAGTAAACCAGCAAAAACCTCGTTTGAGCAGAGCAGTGAGGAGAATGTATGGGTTAGGGACTCATGGACAAGTATCTTCTACAATTTGATTAACTGCTTGTAAGTCATGCACAAACCAATATTCATCTGTGCTGTTTCTAGACGAGTAAAATTGGATTTCCCTGGTAGCTCAGATGGTAAACAGTCCGCAATGTAGGAGGCCTGGGTTCGATCCCTGGGTCGGGAAGATCCCCTGGAGAAGGAGATGGCAGCCCACACCAGTATTCTTGCCTGGGAAATCCC